TAATTCTGCTATTAAGGTCTTAAATAAAAATATCCCCAAGAACAAATACACCCAAATGCCAAAGAGTATTCTGTATCTCCAAAGAGCAAATGGTTAGGATTACATTAATTTCGAGATACTGCTATTTGGTTTCTGTAGGGTCTTTTTCTACAGGTAGTTTGAAGTCTTGTACATTCACTTTAAGTCTGAAATAACAAATCCCCATGAAGCAATCAATGGCTCAGAATTCCATCTCACCTTAGGCAGGATTCTACAGTGAAAGGGTCAAATCTTCATTCAGGTTTAATCTAAGAAACTCACCAGCTATCTCTTTTATGGCTCCTACTTCTTCCAAACTAGCCTTACGTATCTGACTTATTCTCAAACATCTCTGTGTAGACATAAAAAACAAACAAACAAAAAAAACCAGTTGCTCTCACGTACTTCTTGAATTAAAAAAATGCAAGGCCTACAAATTCATTTTTTTTTCTAATTTTCTCCCTCTAAACACGATGCATAGTACAGTTATGAGTATGAAAGTGTTGTGGAGCTCCTAAGGACCATTCATGATCTCCTGGAACAATCTATTTAAAGTGAAAATCCTGGGGCACCCAGCTGGCTCACTTGGTATAGCATGTGACTCAATCTGGGGGTTGTGGTTTTAAGTACCACACTGGATGAAGAAGATTACTTAAAAATCTTTTTTTTTTTTTTTTTTTTTTTTTTTTTTTTTTAGTAAATCAAAGTCCTTTTAGATCTTTTATCAGAAGTGGAAACAGGGGCACCTCGGTGGCTCAGTCGGTTAAGTCAGGATCTCTTGATTTCGGCTTACGTCAGGATCTCACGGTTCCGGAGATTGAGCCCCAGGCTGGGCTCTGCGTTGACAGCATGGAGCCTGCTTGGGATTCTCTCCCCCTCTCTCTTTGTCCCTCCCTTCTGCTCACGTGCATGCATGCGCATGCGTGCTCTCAAGTAAATAAACTTAAAAAAAAAAAAAAGTAGGAACAATCTATCTCAAGACAATGACCCATAAAAGGGGAGCAACTCAATGGACAAATAACGAGTTCTGATGTATGCTATTAAATTTTAGACTAAGAGCAGAGATCTAAAACTTAAAAAAAAATAAATTATATCAGTTCCATAATAAACTCAGGGGAAAGAGAGAGGAGGGGAGAAGTAAAAGGACTGAAAAGAGAGAAAAGGAGAAAGAGGTAAGTAAAGACAGACAAAGAGAAAGATGTATAGAAAAAAGGAAGACACACAGGCAGAGAGGAATACAGACCTTTTTGAGCAACACACCCATCTGGTGGCCATTTCAGATATTGCCACACCAAACTTAATTCCTGCTGCAATTCTGCAATGAGAAGAGGCAATGCAATGGAGTGGGAAGCTTTGGGAATGTGGAGTCAGAAGGCCTGAGTTCCACTAGGGCTCTTGTCACTGCCCAGCAAGTACCAGTTGGCCAAGACTTCTATAAGCCTCAGTTTCCACTTGGAAACCGACTTGGCCTGCATACCTCACAGGGAACTGTGAGGGAGAAATGAGATACCTATAAAAACTATACAAATACCAGAAATTACAACATCAAAACTGTTAAAACACAACAACAACAAAAGTAGGTAACTGTTTTCTCAACTGGCATGTGAGGCAAAGCATTCCTAATTCCCACCTTAATCAGAAGCCACGGTTTTTAAGAAATTAAAAAATAATGGAATGGGATTTCAGTAAGTTACAAAGTCAATGCTCCCTTTCTAAATTCTAGACCAAAAAGTTAAAAAGCTAGTTTCCAAGCCATTCACAAAGCAGGGATCCCCTCTTCCATGTCTAGAGAGGGGACGTCAAAGCCACAGATGATCAGATGCACTTTCTTGCTGACGGAGGCACCCCCACCTTGTGCAGTCCACATAACGCAGCGCTCATGACTGAGCTTACAGTGATTTTCCTCATTTTTGAGCTGGCAAATTATCACAGTGACTGAGGTCCTTTGCGAATAATTGGCTCAACTGTTGCCTATATTTCCCTTAATAATTTTGGCATTAAGTATTAACCTACTAGAGTACAACTGATCATTGCTAACTACACTGTATCCCATCTTTTAGCAGAAAAATTTCATTCTCGTGTCCTGGTCAATATGTAGGCTTTTCCACACTGTAGGTCAATTTCAAGAAAGATTACGATCTTTCTCACCGGAGACTATGTGCAAGTAGGGGGCATTATCCAAAGTGTACCCCCGCCATGCAGAGTTCTCCAGGACCAGAAGGAATTATGTGTCTAGGCACAAAATTTGTGTGCTGTGCAGCACTGTCTATCTTAACTCCTTGAAAGCATAAGCCAAAAAAAAAAGAAGAAAAAAAAAAGGAAAAAAGACATTAGACACCTCGAATCTGGCCTATGGAAATAAAAGATTCATATATTATTAAAGTGTTTCAAGGTACTGAAAACGAAAAGATAAAACCTTCAGCTGGACATTATTTTAAGCCTTGCCCAAAGCCATATTAACTCTCTAACTCTTCTTTACAAAACACCACTTGGTATAAATTCAGCAGCACATTCATTTGTTCACTCATTCAACTAATTTTTTTATGCCAAATCCTGTTCTTATGCTGGGGATTTGGCAGTAAATAAGATAAAGTCCCCTCTGCTGAAGGTTTAGTTCGGGGTGGGGGGGAGGAGAGCATCAAATAAAGATCTAAAATAACGTTAAGTAACAATGAATGATATGAGGAAAATAAGACAGGATAAAGAGATCAGGGTGTAAAGGGTTGAGGGAGCAGCTACTTTAGACACTGTAATTAGAGAAGGCCTCTCTGATGGTATGATATTTGAGCTTAAGACTCACTGAGGTGATGGTGACGCCATGTGGACATTGAGAAGAACATGATGGGTGGAGAGACAAGCCAGTGCAGAAGCCTGAGGAGTGAACATGCTTAGCATGCTTGCTGTTTGAGAACAGCAAGGAAGCCAGGTTGTGTAAAGTGGAAAATGTGAGGGGGGAAAGTAGGAGGTGCAATCAGAGAGATGGCCAGAGGTCAGACAGTGCAGTGCCCTGTGCACCAGGGCAAAACCTCTTGAGTTTTATTCTAAGAAACCATTAGAGTTTCAAGCAAGGGACAGATGGGATAAAAACCCACCTCCCCAAAAAAGAAACCAAGAAAAAAAAAATTGTGGAAACAGGGAGACATGGAGTCTACTGGAACATTCCAGAAAAGAAGTGAAGGTGATGGTTATACTAGGGTGTTAGAAAGAAGGGGAGAAAAGTGATCAGATTCAGGGTGTATTATGCCAGCAGGGCTGGGATGGACCAAGATGTGGTGAGAGAAAGAGGCGCTCAGAATAAGCAGGGGTTTTGGCCTGAGGAACCACGTTCCAGAAACTTGAGATGGGACACGAAGAAAGGAAGTTTTGGAGGGGAGGAAATCATCAGCAAATAAGAGGCAGCTTCCTCTCGTGTGAACCAGGCTGAGGTGGAAAGAGGAACTCAGGGCTCACTTGGTTTTGTGCCCTGTGTACAAACCCATCATCCATGAAAATGTTACTGAAAAGTGTTCATTTGATAACTGCTTGAAAAGCCAGAGGAGAATAACCATAGGAAGAGCCATCAATTCTTAAGCCCTTACTAATTACCAGGCACCATCGTAAGCACTGTATACATATTGTAGTTACAATCCTCACATATGAAAGCACTTAACCACAGTCCCTGGCACATGGGAAAATACCATCAAATGTTATCCGTAGTACTTGTGAAGTATGTAACACTTTAAGATGAATAATAACTTTAATAGTTATTTCATTATCTAGAGGTTCTATTTCTTTTTCAAATCCTCAATTCATTTTATATTAGGATATCCACTGTTCCTCAGGATAATAGGTAGGTAGTTTTTATATTTCCTCCTTTCACAAAGAGGTTAGCCATTCCAAGGTCTTAACTTATGCAAAGACTCCAGATTCAGTTGCCTCACAAACACCCAAAATCATGTTATATGTCTTCCTGAGAATTAAAATCAACAAGGTTCCACATTCCCCTGTTTTAGCACTTCACACACACTAGCTTTGAGCTACTCTGATTCAGGTACTTGGGATTTCTTTTTTTTTTTCTTTCAAGTTCATCCAGGTATTTAAACATTTCCTGGGTTATATTTTATTTGCTACCTCCAAGTGTTTAAAGCATGGTAGCTCGAGTCAGCTTAGTCTGACATATAACCAGAACTGGAAGTCTACTGTTATTTTACATATCAGGAAATTGTGCCTTAAACAGATAAAATAACTTCAAATTCAGATCTGACTTCAAGTCTATGCTCCGGTCAGCAGACAATGGAATTTCTCCTACTCATATTACATTAACACAAAGAGATGCTGCCTTTAAAAAAAAAAAAAAAAAAAAAATTTATACAAATCAGGGGTCCCTGGGTGGCTCAGTCAGTTAAGCGTCCAACTTTGGCTCAGGTCATGATCTCACAGTCTGTGAGTTCGAGCCCCGCATCAGGCTCTGTGCTGACAGCTCAGAGCCTGGAGCCAGCTTCAGATTCTGTGTCTCCCTCTCTCTGCCCCTCCCCAGCTCAGGCTCTTTCTCTCAAAAATGAAAAAAATATACATAAAAATTTTTTAAAAACTATACAAATCATAAGTGCCACTGAAAGTGATGAAAAGGAGTGAGTTCCCTTCATTAATTGTTAGTTTCATTTCAGGGAATTACTGACCATAACAACAAATATTGAAAGTTGGAGGACAACACAGAAATCACAAAACCAGAGTCCTGCCACCACCTAGCGGCAGGACTCTTTGTGTTTTACTGTATCTTCTAAATAAGGATAATAATTCCATTCCTAGAGTTCAAAGTTTGGGAGAGGCAATGAGATTTGATGCACAGGATAGACTATGTAAGAGAATATTTGGAAACAAATACAAAGAAAACATTATTATTACTACTACTACTAATGTATTGTAAATGTTCATAGTTTGATCAGGAATGGTGAGACAGTAACTGAACAAAACAGTCTAAATTGATGCAAATGTTATTTTACCTTCATGCTGCAAGCTAATTCCATTAGCTTTTTCGCATTTTCTTCTGAGCGATATCTCTTCGGAAGCTGGACCCTGAAGAACTTCAAGGCACCTTCAAAATCTGTCAGCAGCAAGTCGTCCTTGGAAGTCTTGACGAAAGAAAGAAAACACAACCATGGACAGAAAGAGGTCTTGGCTATGAAGATGCACAAGAAGCACTGTATAACACGAGCACCTTTACAATCCCCAGAAGATACTTCTTAGCTGTTGCCCGAGCCACTTGCCCATTAGCTGCTGTCAGGGTCAGGGCTACAGCACAGCTGCTTAGAATGAGATCGAGACCAAGATCCTGCAAGTGCTGGACAGGGGATGTAACTCAATTTACAAATAAATGTGTACCTTTAATAATCCAAGGGCGACATTAAAAATAACACTTATTCCCTGGAAGAGAAAACACAAAAAGAATATTTTCAGTGTTCATATCTGGACTATTCAGCTGTCTGTCCCCAGAATGCCCCACAGTTTAAGATAAAGTACAAAAACTTAATTAAGTAAAGAAATGGAATAACTTGAAAATATCTTGGAAAATAATAATTACAGGTCTGCTACTAAAAAACATCTTAAAACAGACCCCAGTCTCCCAATCTTCTAAGAACTTTTTTTTTTTTTTTTTTAATGTTTATTCACTTTTGAGAGAAGAGAGAGACAGAGCGTGAGCAGGGGAGAGGGAGGACACAGAATCCAAAGCAGGTTCCAGGCTCTGAGCGCTCAGCCCAGAGCCCGATGTGGGGCTTGAACCCACGAACTGTGAGATCAGGACCTGAGCCCAAGTGAGACGGTCAACTGACTGAGCCATCCAGGCGCCCCAAGAGAAGAAATCTTTAGCCCTATTCTCACATTCAACAAGAACACTTTTCCAAAGTATTCTATGCTTCCCAACCAAAACATAAGAGTCATAAAATTGTGATCTCTCAGCAAATAACTGCAGGTGGCCTTTTCCCTTATTGTGTGCTGCCCTGCTCCAAATACAGCAGTCATTCTGTGTGTGAGCCCTCTACCCCAGAACATAATCTGCTCAGGGCTCCCTCCAACCTGCCTCTCCCTCAGCTACCACTTTGGGAGTGCCGGGAACAAAGAAAAGATAAGAGGAGGCACTAAGACCTGCTAAATTCTTTAAGTTTCTGGACCTCAGTTTCCATAACTAATGTTCTCCCAAGGGTTTTCTAAGCTAATTAGCTGAAAAGTTTCTTTAAATTACTTGGCATGCCAGGAGGCCCTTAGTAACTACTTAAAACAAATGGTTGTTTATAATACTGAAAAATTATAAAACTTAAAGGGTTGATTGAGACTAGGAATTGGTTACATAAATTATGGTATACCCAACGAATGAGATATTTGGTAGCAGGTAAGAGTAATGGCATATTTGGTAATAGTGTATCTTACAGTGTTTCAAGCTGGGTAGAAGGCAGAAATTCTTCAAGGGATTTTTGTATGCCTTGAATATGGCATAATTAAAAAGGAAGGTGCAGATGTGTGTCTATAAATGTTCAAATACATGAAATGAAAAGAGGTTACCAATAGCATATATAGCATAATATTTTAAAATATATACCTACAGAACCATAATATACATTATTACATAATACTCCATATGAAAAAGTTATTCCATATAGAAATAACACATGTAAATCAATAAATGCACACAAAAATCTGAAAGAATAGACACCAAAATGTTAAAAGAGTTACTCTCTGGAGAGTGGGATTAGAAGTATTTTTAGAACTTTTTGCTTGTTTTCTAGTTTCTGTAATAAACATATATTATTGGGGTGCCTGGGTGGCTCAGTTGGTAAAGCATCTGACTCTTGATTTAGGCTCAGGTTATGATCTCATGGTTGTTAAGATTAAGCCCCTCGTCAGGCTCTGTGCTGACAGCATGGAGCCTGCTTGGGATTTTTTTTGTCCCTCCCCAGCTTGCACACGTGCTCTCTCTCTCAAAATAAACAAACAGACATATATTATTTTGGAAATTAGTTATTCTTTTCTTAATCACCCTGCCAAACCATGCTTGGCAAAGACTATTACTTACTCTAATATCTTTTTTGTTTTAGTAACAGACCCTCCAAGTTTTAGCAAATTCCTACCCAGTTTTTAAAAACTCTCCTTTGCAGCTAGATGTTGTCAGGTACCTAAGTTCCTGCCAATAAGAGAGAAATGAAAATTCAGGTGGAACATCTAGGAAGTCTCTTTTAAAGGGGGACACACCCTCCTCTGTCCCCTGACAGGTTACTGTCAACCTTCTGGTTTCTTTTATGTGAATGAAGAGAACTAAACCTCTACCTTAGTCACTGTGACTTTGAGTTTCTTCAATAAATGCAGCCAAACCTAATACTAATACAAATGTCTAGTAGTGGTTTTCGTTTTTCTTTTCTTTTTTTTTTTTAAGCTGAGAGCACCTTTAACAAAACGTGATCACTCGCTTTAACCCAAGGAAGCATTACTTAAATCTGGATTTTTGAGCATTAAAATAAAATAACTAAGAACAAATTCTGTTTTGATGGAGCCGACATGGGAGAGCACTGTAAACAAAAGCTGAAGTGTTCTGGCCTCTGATACCTACCTCACATAAAAGCAGGTCGATGATATGGAAGACCATGTAGAGAGGGAATTTTGCAGTGAAAAGTGTAAGAAACCACTGGGAGGCATACATGTGTGCTTCAAGGCTTATATCCAGGAAGTGGTTGTACAGGTCAGGGATGTATTCCTGAAATAGCAAACTAATTAGTTTTGGGCACATATGCAGCTGTTCAACTCCCACTCATAAATCTGCCAGGAATAGGCCAAAAAAGTCACATATTTGTGTTTTCCTACAAACCTCCAAAGTGCTCAAAAGAACACTTATCATCAAGTATTAAACAGGCACTTGGCTCTCTTTTCTGGTCCACAAACTAGCTCTCGAGAGGAATCCCCAAGACGGTGACAAATATTTGGAATGAAAGTTTTTCTTTCCAAGTTATGAAATGTTTGGGAAAGTTTGTTTCACTTTTATTATGCTATTCCTAACCAGTCAGCTTCAGAGCCTTGGCGGGTATTTCTTGATTTAGTTTGCTATGTTAAAGGCCCCCACAAAGTCATCTGATCTTTTGGGTGTTTATGAGATTGAAAAACCAGCTCACACCCATTCAGGTTCACACCTTATTAATCTTGGCATTGTCATCACATAGTGAGAAATGAAAAATATAAAACCAGTCCTTAACGTTGGATGGCTAAGGCAACCACCACTGCTCCCTGGCACCAATTCATGGATCCAGCTCTCCCCAGTCCCGTACTCTTAGTGGCGAATGCAAGCTGGTTTCTCTTTTTACCTGCATGAGTCGCTCCAACTGGTAAAATTTGCAATGCAAATCTTCAAAGTTTTGCTTGAAAAGTTCCCTGAGACCATAGTCAAACATGATCTTGACCAGAACACTGAATGCCTGTTCTTCAGGCATCTGTAACAGACAGGGAATGGGGTGGTGGGGATCACAAAACATATACAGAAGTTTTCTCAGTATGTTTAATTCATCCTTCCAGCCCTATCCAAATACTATGACATTTAGTGATATGTAGTAACTCAGGTAGTTGTGTTTTACTACATTCATTCACTCAATAAAGAAATATTAATGATGCCTATTCTGTGTCAGATACTGTTCCTATCCTCCAGAAGTTTCCCATACAATCAGTGTACAGTAAGTATAATATGAATTAGGTAGAAAGATCAGTGGGGATCCAAGAACAAGAAGGCCCGAGTCTGCCTGAGGGAGCGGAGTATAGGCTTTGCAGGACCGGATCTGAACTGAGCAGCAACACGCTGACACACAGTGTAGGTTTCATCTTCTCAAATCATGACGCCTTCATTAAATCATTTTGCCTCCTTAGCTGCTATTTCTTTCTACTGAAAGTGTTTTTCTTCCTCATTGGCCAATTATAGCAGAATCTTAAATATCCTAAGGTTTATTGTAATGCACAAAGTACTAAAGTAATGGTCATGGCAATATATAAAATATTACAAAAACCCTCACCATTCAATTCTATTTATAGATGTTACCCCTGTTTATAATAATACCTACATCTTTCATAGCTTGGTGGAAAAACATTTCCCTGAGAACCTGGCAAAATGTCTAGCTTTCAAAACAGAAAAAAAAGCACTGGAAACGTTATTTAAGGCTTGGTGTGATGTAGCAAGCCTTCAAAATGTCAAGAAGGTGGGCGGGCTTCTGTGGAACAAGGGGATGGAAGTGGGCTGAACACAGAAATCAGAGACTAAAGCAGAACTACAGAACAAATTGGATTCAGTAATAAATGAGAAAAGCATAGCAATTTATTATTGGAAAAGGTAGGGGCATTTGGGGCAAAGCAGCAGATCTCAGAGGTCTCTATCGTGGAAGGCAATTTCACAATTTTGTCCACATGCTGAGGGACACTTGGTCTGCCCCAGAGTGGCATTTCTGATGTCAGACAGCACATCTGCTTTTCCTCTGAAACAAGCATTTATCTTAACACAATGGCAAGCAGTACAGAGTTCAAACCAAGACACTGGCGATTTGTCTGGGAAACCCATTTTAAAGAGACTGTGATACTTAAATGGGGGCAAATGTTCTTGGACTGACGTTGAGAACAGAGACAAACCATACAGGCCTGAGAGACTTTGAGATAGCAAGTCTTATTAAAACAACAGAACAGGTGTGTCCAGGTGGCTCAGTCGAGTAAGTGTCCAACTCTTGGTTTAAGCTCAGGTCATGATCTTGCAGTTCATGAGTTTGAGCCCTGAGTCAGGCTCTGTGCTGACAGTGTGGAACCTGCTTGGGATTCTCTTTCTCCCTCTCTCTCTGCCCCTCCCCAGCTCTCACTCTCTCTCAAA